ATGATCATCGTGGGCTTACAGTCTGCAAATTTATGCCTGCTAAAAATTGGGAGACTGCTTCACCCCATCATTTCAGGTTAATAAATTAGGGGAACCCGTAAATGCGCCCCCTCCCCCTTTCTCTTTAACTGAAAATGAATCCTCGGGGCATCACAAGAGGCCAAATGTCTTCTGCTTCACTGTGGACTAGTCACTCCCCACTGCCCAGTATTCCTCAGTGCCTCAGGTCTAAATCACAGTGGTTAATTATTAGACTGTCTGCAAAGACAAAATCAGAGATGGTTAGCCTGGGAGGGGGATGGACAACATGTCTAGGAAATATAGTGCCAGGCTCTGCTTTAACTCTGTTATTTAAAAATGGAAACTCGTAAGTAAGTATTTTAGGGTCCAAATGCAGCTATTTTGTTTTCTTTAACATTTTCATTTATTTGGACTATCAATGAAAACATCTTCTGTGGTGAGAAATGTGGAAGAAGACAATTAACCCTCCCTCTGTGGTACTGAGAATTCACACACAACATCACATGCGAGAGAGGGACTGATTGGAAACTGAAAGTGAAACTGACCAGTCAGCTGTCATTTTTTCCTGGGTGGAGGCTTGGAACAGATGATGAAAGTTAACAAGATTTAACAAGATTACAAATCTTTCAAGGAACTTAAAAGGTGGCAAATTCAAAATTGAAAAAATAAAAAGAGAGAAAACACTTTTTGATAAGTTGTGCTTAAACTGTGGAACTCACTGCCACCAGAAGTTACTGAAGTCAAGAACTTAGCAAGATTCAAGGGGAAATTGAATATTCCCATGCATCTTAATAATACCTGCCATTGCCATTGGTAACAAATGTTGGTGGGGGTATTAAACCTCATACATCAGGGTTTAAGCTTGTCTGTATTAGAGTTCAGGATAAGGCTTGGTATGAGACACATTTTCCTGCATCTGCATGCTGCAGGCTTCTTACACTGTCCTCTGATCCAACTCATGTTTTCCACTGCCAGGGACCCTGCTGGGCATAGCACAGATGCCCCTGACCCAACTGAGATGCCCCTGGGAGCCTGGAGGTTTGCAGTGGCTGGGGATCTGCCGGAGGCTTCTATGTTGACAGTGTCGGTGTGTTGTAAATTCATCTCTGGTTCCCAGCCTGGCTCTTCAGACAGGGATGTTCAATAACTCTCCAGGAGGCTGCTATTCTCCCTCGTCTTCCCACCCCTCCCACTCGTATTAATATCTCTGCATTCATCTCCTGGCCTCCCTCATTAGAGCGTGAGGAATAATGGAGCTCTGGCTGAGCACAAAATATGCTGTAATAGGGACATTGTGATCTGCGAGGGAAGCCTGAATCATCAGACTCCCAGGTTATAGATTTAGGCAGGGGGTTTCACAAGAGCCTTTGGGAGTTAGGAGCCCAAATTCAATAGAAAGTCTATACAGTTTGGGCTCCTAATTCCCTTTGACTCTTGTGAATAACCTAGCTTGGAGTGATGCATGCTTTGAGGAGAAGGGTTGGAGTGGCTATTTGAAGCATATGTAATACAGAAGTTAAAATATATCTCCCCCACTAGCTACAGGCTTAAGCACACTCTTGACTGTGGAACATGTGTAGGAAAAGGTCTCAATGCACCCGGCCTGGAAAGCAGAACTGAATATGGGGCCAACCTGGATAGGACTGGGGGTGATGCAGTGCCATCCACCTGCCCAACTATCTCTGGGCAGCCTCTACCTGTAGACCACAAAAAAAGCCCTGGCCTTCTCCTGCAGTGGAGCCCCTGAGGGTGGTGGTAGACTAGGGCTGAATTTGGTTAGAGGTTGTGACATAGGCCTTGTGGGCCCCTGGGGGTGAATCTGGATACAGACCAGAGCTTTTGCAGTGTGAACCGGTACAGCTCCACTGAAGTGAATGGAGTTAGCCTGGTTTATAGCAAACAGCTGAACATCTGGTGTCTGGAGCACATCCCCTTCTCCATATGGATTCCCCAACCTACTACTTCCCTTTGCATCCCCATTCTCATACAACCCCCAGAGCTCACGTGACTTGCATTCTGCATTAGCCCATATGATCTTCGCAACATCAGCAACAAATGACAAAAATGTGGATGCTCACACACGGGCTGGAAGCTGCTTGGACATCAGGGGAAGGTAGTGCCCAGCCTCGCAGATTGCTCAGGAGACAAGGGGGAATTCAAAGTGGGGGCTGCTTGAGAGGGACTGGATAAGTCTGGGGATAGGCAAGGCCTTAGGAGGTTTTCATATCACTGGTTCAAACCCAGCTGTGGCCATGTTGTAACATTTTGATGATTGGGATGGTTATAAGCTTGATGACCTCAGTCCAGCTCCTTGCAGACATGAGTTCAGTTACCAGCAGCCGGTACGATGGATGCCCTTAGCAACTTCAACAAGAGGTACCAAGACAGAATGTGTCATCAGCCTGTACAGGTACTCCTGTTAAAACTGGGGTGAGGTGACAGGCAATGCAATCCAGCATCTCCTGGGGCTCAGACTGTACCTCTTCCGTAGGTAGAAAGGAGATCTTTTCTCCAGGTCTATCAATCTAGGATCCATTCCATAAACCACTGGGTTGGGATGCTAGCACACTTGTCTGCTGTGACAACCTTCCATTGAATAGGTAGAGATCCATTATTATATATAAGTTAATGAGAGAAGCTCAAGGAAAGAGTAGGGATATAGAAGACTCCTTCCAGCACTGGAGGAGGTGGAAACTCCCTCAGCCAGGACAGAATCATTTAGATTCTCATTCAGCCTTTGATTGCAGGGTTTCTTTTCCTTTCCCCAAGGGGTGGGGAGTGGCCAAAAAATGTAAGGGCCACATTCCAGCTGGCTATAACCAGGCTTCTATTATTGAGACTGCAATTTTTCAGGTACAATGTATGACTTATCTGTCTTACAAAAGCACCTAGAAATGCCGCCCAAAATTAGGGTCCCACTTTGCTTGGCCTTGCACAAATAGCCACTAAGTCTGCCTCAAAAAATTCCATTTTAAATAGACAAGACAAGGAGCAAAAGAAAGGAAAGCTCATTATCCCCATTTTACAATCAGGGAACCAAGGCCTAGTGGGATACAGTAATGTAAGGTGATACAGTCATTCAGCAGGAAGTTGGGATAAACTTTGGGTTGATATCCAAATGATGTTACTTTGATGTCAGAGGGCTGGAGTTGTACCACTTACATGAGAGTCAACAGGTCCAGTAGGAATCAAGCCCTTCACTGTGCCCCCAGTGAGGGAGATGAGTAGTGCCAACCAGAGCTGCCCACTGGAGGGTAGCGTTGGCAGTCTGGCCCTACCAAGCCAGACCTGGACTCCGGGTAGCTCAGCTCAGAGTTCAGGAGAACAGGGTTAGTGAATGGGTCCAAAAGGCCCATCATGGCTATGATCAGAGACATCTGTCTGCCCTGATCACAAGCAAGGGCTTGGTCTCTCCTGCTTCGGTCCCCAACAGACTGGGAAGATGGAGGAAGAGAAGAGATGAAGAAGAAATTGGAGGGAGAAGGAGGGGAGCAGAGGGGCTAGAGCAGCAGCACACTAGTGAAGTTCAGCCCTTGGGGGCTTTGCTGGGGCTGAGAGGGACCATACAGGGCTTGGGCTTGATGACCCTGGAGGCTCCTTGTGCCCCCGTGGGCTTCTGCCCAAAATAGGTGCCTCATTGCCTGGGTGCAGCCCTAGAGGAGTGGGGAGTGGGGAGTGCAGCCAGATCCAGACGGAAATATTTAAATCGGGCCTCCTTAATACTGTTAGGCATTTTCCTCTCTCTCTCTCTCTAATTCTGTTGCAGTCATTACCCAGGGAGCGGATACACAGGGCCCTATGGGGAGTTCTAATGGGCCGATTCAATTTCAACTGGATGACGCCACTTAGCCAGGCATTAAGAGCTACAGCTCCGGGAAGGCAAACGCCAGAGAGAGGGAGAGGGAGAGGGTGCGAGAGAGAGTGATTATAACGAGGAGCAAGGACTCCCTCCCGCCCGTCCTCCACGCTCGCCCATTCACAAGCGC